GTAATCATGCATCGTGTTGCCACTATTGAAAAACTTTCATGAGCCGCTTGTTCAGGATATATTGTCTCTAATTAACTTTCTAATTGAAGTTGCCATTTCGACGTCAAATCTTACGGTACTCTCCTTGATGTCTTTAAACTCTATTCGAGAGAGATTTAAAAATAGCCATTGCTAAATGCGTCAGCTCGTCAAACGTCTGTCGTCACTGCAGCAGTTGGATCAAATTTTAGCTCAGCCTAGAACGGAAACCATCTATAATTTATGAACAGCCGACAGAAGCTAAAGAACATTCTCGTGGCTTTGTCGAAAGTCGTTCATGCAACGTTTCCGCTGTGACGGGCTTTTGAAGTGGGTGATCAGCATGGCAATTAAGGCAGAAATCCATCCAATATGGGAGCAGCAGGGCTTAGTGAAAGTGGGTTCTGAAGAGTGCACAGCTTCTTCTCGTCGTCCTTTTCGGAAACAGATGCATTCCATTGCTCTACCCCCTTCACAATCGTTTTCCAGCGACTTCAATTTGATCATCAGCCGTCACGAAACAAGTATCGTTTTCAGCAACCAAATTTAGTCAAACGGACTCATTTTTCGGGGCCCCTCCGACGAAGAGCGACAAACTGCACTTTTCAAAAGAATGACGTGTAGGAAGTCGGTTTCCTTTGCGGACATTTCTTGTCAGAACACTTCAATTAACGGCGGACAACCCGCTCACTTCATGAGAAACTCAGCAGATTAGGTTAAGAGCAAGGTTTCGGCATTAATATATTACGACAAGGCACTGCAACCTGCTTGAATATTTACGAGCCACTCTGCATTGTTTTCCTCACCATTGGGTAGGGGGTGGGGTGACGTTATGTGTATGGAAAGCTAGAGAAAGACGTTTGAGTTGTGCCGTTCCACGGTTACAGCCGACGGCCATACGACTCTTGGACAAAACTTCATCAACACAATCCGAAGGAATCCTGTCAGGCGGCACTGCTAGGCTGCAATTTCCGCCACTCGGATGAGTGATGACATGACATCGTTCGAGTACTTGCCCATTACACCCTCGAGAACTCCTCACGGCTAACGACTAGCCGCCTGATTTTCACGATGGGAGGAGGAGTTTCACTAACATCCCAGGAATGAGATTTCGCATATGTTACAGTGGAACCAGGAAGCTGTCTTGGGTCTTCGCTGTGTGTATTCGTTACTTTTCACTTTTCGTGTTGTTTTCGCTACAAATCATTCGCTACATTCGCTATATTTTCGCTTCAAACAGCTTACTTTACGACCATGTTGGCTGTAATTGGACAGTGTCGTCAAGGCAACCCATAACGAATGGCTTGTTGTCTCGTAACAATGTTCATGATAGAAAATAAAACACAAAATTACAATGTTGATAAATTCCGCATGAATCGTAACCCAGGCGGGGATGATCAGCATTAAAAATTCCTATTGAAATGGCCGGGATTTCAAATCCTTTCACCACGACTTGCGGGGTTTTGCCGATGTACACACCAGAATTTCCATCCAGCCAAGCGACTCGTGCTACCCTAACCGTTAAAGGCCTCATTGGGAGAGGATGTCCTACCCTAACCATGGAAGAAGCTCCGTCCTGAGACTTACCCGGCCGTTTGCGCAGCGGCACCGCTACTTGTCGTTTTGTGACCAACATTCAGAATAAACTCATTAAGCTTGAAGCAACCGATACCAACCTGATATGCCCAACAGAACTCTAACTATTACCGAACGAATTCTTTTTTAAGGGGTTTAAGCGGCTGCATTAGCTCTGAACTAGCACAAGCTCCTTGCTTTTTCGCTCCTTTATTGCAGAGGACAGAGGGCAGTATGAATATGGAATCAATTTTTTCCTAATTGACTGTGGGAAACCCAAGAGCCTTTCACTTCAAGAAAACCCCACCATCGTCTTAGTTTATTGATTTTACAAAATTCGCTGCATGCAAAATGGAGTTCACACTAATTGCGTTTCTGTTTGGCTTTGTAAAGAACATCTGTACGCCCAGACCTTTTCATATCGCCCACATTACGTGCAACTAATGGAATAGAAAACATAGGTGTGTAGTACTGAACGTACATTAGTTGGAAAAAAGGCCTTAAAATGACTAGTCCCTGCACCTGTTCCTCGAATATGTAACAAATTCGTTTCGAAGAAGTTTCACCTGGAACTGTATTCGTGCTAGGTTCTTACATTCAGAGATAACCACTTTTCTACCCCGAAAGTTACTTCGCCGGATCCTGGGCTGCAAAGAAGAGCCAGATTTTTAAGGGTTCACAACACCTTATTCGCGTAAAGAAACTATGGAATTCATAAAAATCGGAGAAAAGTGGGTGGGCATAGCAAACGGGAATGAATATTCTTCGGTTCCTCCACGCCTCTGAACAGAAACAGGTTTAGCAATGAGCAAAGAAGCAGCCTTTAATCAAATTTTTGAGGAAATTTTTTTCTATTTCATTTTCAGCCACTCATACTGGTGCCCCTTACTAGCCCATGGGTCCTAGAGCAATGGTAATGAACTTTTTACTGGCTGGGGGCGACTCCAATAAGGTTTCCAGTCACACCCAAAAATACTCCAATCAGACTCTTAAAAAAGTCTGAAAGGTTTGGTAAGCATTACTCCAGCGAGCGTTGACAATACGATATCAGATTTCACCAATCTTGAGAAGGGAAATGACCACTTATAATTATCTAATAAGTTGATTGATTCGCGAAAATTCGGGCTGGCGTAGTAACTGACTCCACTCCCCCACCAAATTTCATCAGTCACTTCCCATTGTTTCTATCGGAAACCATTTATTATCACTCATTACCAACAAAACTCCCGACGCCAAGGTCTTTTTGCTCAGGGATCAATTTACTTCAACTTCACAATTACCGTATATCAGACTTATTACTGCTGCTAAAAACCCACCGGCAAACTTACCAGCAGCTTAATTTTTAGTCGCTGCTCCTTTCATCTGAAGCTCTTTCTTCATTCAATGAATCTTTACAATCAAGATAGGAATCAATCAAACGCTAGGCCTCTCCTTCGATAGCTCCTCTGCGGAACATAACCGAGAATATTTCATGTCAACTGCGTCAAAGGGGGCCATTAGGCCCATTACGGGAGGGACAAAACAACACCTCCATTTTTCATTACCCACATCTATTAAAATGGGATGGGGCTTTCCCGCCTCGTAGACGATGACGTCTAGATGGCGTCACACCAAAAGCTCTTTATATCCAGGCTCAAAATATTAAGTGGAAGAAGTTTTTTTCACGCCCCCAAGCCTTGTACGTGTTTATTAGATATTTTTTTAATTCGTAAAAAGAATTATCCCACTCAACACCTATTGATCGCTAGCGGGAGCAGTTGCCAGATGACGTGAACGGGGGGAGAGATTTGTTCCAATCCTTGACCGCTTGT